AGACGGTTCATACAATAAAGTTGAATATTTTGATTATTAGATTTTGTAATATTGTATTTCATATTTGGAAGAGAATGACTCTTTTTTATTTATAAACAAAGAAAAGGGGGGGGGGGGGGAAACCCTGCTACTCTACTGAGTAGAAAGTAAACAACAAAGATACTCTACGGGTAAGAAGTGAAGGCAGCACAAATGCATGTTTTGATTAGCATCCATGTTTTCCTCTCTTTAAACATAGCCAAATTCCATTGTTTTATTAGAATCCATGCTTAAGCTTTTATTATGAGCATCATTGTTCCCGACCTTGATCAAATTAAGAGCCTCTGGGAAATTAGTTCTCAAACAAACCTTCTAATGTTCCTTGTCCCAAACTCATTCTAAAATCTATAAAAAAAATTTATGATTTTAATTACGAATAGTATAATTCTTAATTTTATTATGAGTAAGCTCAGTTTTTTTATAAATGAATATTTAGATGAGTTGAACCTCAAAACTCATCAAAATTAAAGCATACTTTCATATTTAAAGAGTATTTATAGAGCGCGCACACACATATATTATATATATTATTTATTATTTATTTATTAACAAAAATCTTTATATCACTAGCGGGATTTAAAATAATGATCTTATAGGTAACAAGTCAAGTCTTTATCAAGTAAACTAACATTTGTTGGGAGCTTAGTTTTTATTATAAGAATAATCAAACTCAAAGTTAAATCGCATAGGCTATAGTTAAAAAATAAAAATAAAAAAAATTGTTTTCCCTCATTTTAGCTGAAAGTGTGTCAACAATGGTAGCTGGAAAGGTTGGAATAGATACACTGTATTTTTTTTTACCCTTCTTTGAAAAAAGAAAAAGGAAGGTGACCTCTTTGATTCCCCATCAACGCACATGGATTCCAAGTGTCCATTTCGCTATCAATTATTAATATATATTATATACTATATTCTTAGCATGAAAATTGATCATATTTAAATCTTAATAGAAGGACAAGTTGGGTGGAAATAATGGCAAGTACTTGGTACCCAACGATGTTTCTCTGTCCACTTGTACTTCAAACTTGGACTGGTAGTTGCGACTTCTAGTTCAGAGCTTCGAGGGAACAGGGGAACTCGGTTACCATGTTTCAAAATACTTTGATTTAATCTATTAACAAAATAACGGTCATTTTTTAAATAATCAATCTCTCTTAAATTAAAAGTGTGGTTAAACTAGTATCATATTTTATTGATGAGATAATACAATTTTTTTTCTAAATTTGTCTTAATTATCAATTAAATTTTAAATTTTAAGTCAGTAACACTTAATTCTTGAAATTTATTAAGTCAATGAATTATAAGAATTAAATTGTATCAAATTAAAAATAGAAAAAACTACATCTAATTCTTACATAAGAAAATTTATTATTAAGAAGTGCCATAAATTCATAAAACACTTTTAAGTCAATTCCTGTGCATTTACAACTTGATTGAGCATTGACAATTAAGTAATAGTAATTTATAACTTATTATTATCAATTATAATTTTTCTTGTAAGTTGTCAATAGCCGTTGTCAAGTTGTCATTACCTTTAATCAAGCTGTAAATACATATAACTTAAGACTTGAAAATATTTTACAAATTTTATGAGACATCTTAATAATAAATTTTTCTATGTGGGATCTAGATGTAATTTTTTGGTAAAAATATATGATGATTGAATTGTTATAATTTAACATTTACAGATTGAATTGATAATTAAAAAAGTTTAAAGACAAAAAATAATATTTTCTACTTATTAATTTGGTGTTGGAGAATACAAATTCCACATAAAAACTGACACAAAGAAATGAAGAGCGTATAAGCCTGTACCAATTCTAATCAAATAATTAAGCTATTTTGTTGAAAAGGTTAAACCCAAATGAAGCAATGTTATCCTATGCTTGGCAAGAGAGAAAAGAAAAAAAAAAAATATATGTGGGGCTCACATATTTTTACTTCCAAGTTTTCTCTCCAACATGAGGAGATTTTGGAAGAAAAATTTTATTCTTAAATTTATCCACTAATTTTTTTTTTATGCAACCTCTTGCTTCCGTCTATTTTTATTATGATCTTTGTAATATAGTTACATTTTGATCATGAACTTTTATTAAACAATTAATATATTTAATTTTTAAACTAATCAATAAATGCTAATTCTAAATTTTTATGTAAATTTTCAATTAAATACCTTATATTTGGGTGTACTTTTAAATTTTAAGATTATTATATATTAAATAATTTAATAATAAAATTAAAAATTGGATAAAATATTTTTTTGTCCACGTTGGATAACATAATTTTTAGTTATGTTTTTGTTTAGTCAATAATATATGATAAAAATTATAATATATACAATATGTTAAAATATTAAATTTTATTATATAAATATTTTATAAATAATAAGGTTATTATTGTTTATATAAATAATAATTTTCTTTCCCTCTTGTTTTCTTTTGTTAGCTAGCATAATGAGAGAAAATTACACCCTCCACTTTTCTCTTCTCTTCATTTTCTCTTCTTTGTTTTTTTTTCTCTGCGAACCAATCACAACATTAAAGTTAATATTTGGAGGTAGCACATGGATAATTAATCTTTTTAAAAGAAATGTTTATATTTATTTAGTTAAATGTTTGTTTTAATTTTTTGCTCACAAAAATTAGTCTAATTAATATAGATACTTTTTTATTCTTATAATTAGAAAAGATACTACTCCTATCTTATCAGGATGATTTGAATTTTAACATGAGAATTTTTTTAAAATGAATAATGTAGGTATATCTATTTGAATGATAAAACGACTGGAAGTCGGCCAACTCCACCAGGAATTTCCTTTTACGAAAAAAGAATTGATTAATAAAATAATCTCGTGGACAACTGCTTGAGATTAAATCCGCTGCCGATATAAAGATCTTGCTAATGAATGATTTGTATATTTCTTTTTGCAATATAATAAAAATTTAAAATGATAAATTTCTCACTTGAATAACAGGATTTGAATCTATATTCTTATAAATCGGAATATCATCTAAATTTTACTTTTAATTCAAACCTCTAATTTTGTTTTTATTTTCCTTCTTTAATTATCTATGCATAAGGAGATTAAAAAAAATTTCTTGAGCAATTCAATTTTCAGATTAACACATAATGTTCAAAATTTACTCCTAAATGCAATATTTGTTATGACATAGTTTTCTTTTCAGATTAGTTTTACTTTTATTTGGAGTAAAAATGATACGTAAAAAAAGTCATTGATTACTTGCCATCCAACCATTCTGGGAACTCTAGTTATTTGATTATTCAATTAGAATAATTCTTTCTGCGGTTTGGTTATTTATATTTCATTGAAATGTTGAAACAATATTAACCTACTATGTTGAAAAATCAAAGTGGAGAAAAAAATTGATGAAAACCTTCCATTAATGAATTCAAATGATGATTACAATCAATACAACATTCCTTCACTTTGAAAGATTACAAACCAAATAAAACAAGTTTGAGTGATGGACAAATCCTAAACATGGGGACTAACATGAGGTGATGATTATGTTAACCTTCCTCTCTTAGGTAGGATTAAACTCTCTTACCTAAATACCTAACTCTTCTCCTTTATATAGGTTTAGGCTAACAATTAACTATGATTAATATTCCGACACATTATAACCAAATGAACAATTGAAATGTTAAAAATATTATATCAAAGTACAAGTGTTTTACTTTAATTTTTTTTATATATAAATATCATTTAATCTCCATCTCTGTTACTTACTGAATTCAGAAGTTCCAATATAAGATTGAACTATAATTTCAAGATTTCATATATATCGTGGTTATAAGCTAGTGTGATTTGTATGTTCTGTTTTAAATTCAATATTTTAGTTACTTATCCTTTAATTTTATTCCATCACATCCTTGATCCGTTTATATTTATGTAAATTGCAGCTTTAACACATTTCTTGCTAGATATTTTAAACAAACCAAATTATCAATAAAGTCCACTGCAAAAACTCTCACCAATCTGCAGTAACATATAAAAATGGGAAACAAGAGTTGGGTCATTCACTTTCTTAGACCGGCCCAACGTAAGGAAGTCTTCTAAAAAGAGTTTCGTTCATTCACCAAAAATTTAGAGGCCCATTTTTTGGGCCTATAAGAAGGAGGCCCATTTCATGTACCAGTAAAAACCGATATCTTTTTACTAAACTAAGAATTCTGGCCCATTTCAAATGTTGCTTCGTATTTTCTTCTTGTTTGGTTGTAAGTTATTTGCTCATTTTTGTTAAAAATGAGCAAATAAGTGTTTTTAGTTTCAAATATAAAAAAATTTAGAGTTCACCAAAACAGATAAAATTTAGAAGCATCTGTTATATTTCTGTTAATAATTATCTTCATAATTTTATTATGAATATATTTTTAATTTATAGTTATAAAATTTTACAATTTATTATGTGATCAGGTGTTTCAAATTTTTATGTATATTATATTTTCATTTTAAAATATAATTAATTTTATAATTTAAAACGCACGATTGAATGTTAGTTAAGAAACACATCCCACCTTTGTATTTATAATTAGAAATCTTGACATAAAATAATTAAACAATTTATTTAATATTACACAATCTATTAATCTCTATTTTGTGAACCAGAAATATTTAATTTGATTATTTAGATTTGGATAAATTGTAATCTAAATGCAATCAGCTAATTTGCGAGCTACTACACTAGGATATTTTATTATCTGTATGATATCCCATCACTTAATGATATCCATAATATTATATCAATATAATTAAAATTAATATAATAAGATTATAATAAATAATCATAATAATATATCGACACTCGCTAAACTCAAATTTCATCGATCTCTGCCCGTCTTATTTGCTTTGTCGTAACCTTTCGTTCGTACTTATTATTTCTCTCCACAATTGGATTCAGATCATCATTGCATTCAAAGTTTGATAGATGGCAGATTAAATGGGAAGTAGAACAGAGATGATTGCTAGGGCAGTAAAAATGGCAATCGACAGACTGCTGGTACCAATCCCCAGAGACGGAAGTCCAGCGCGGCAAAGTAACCTTCATCAAAGATCACTTGAACTTGATCAACTCTTTCTTAAGACAGGTCGACCAAAAGCCAGGAGGGGCATTGGATGCCAGAAACTTGGTCAAAGGATTGGTCAATCGAGTGAGAAACATTGCTTTTTGCTTTCAAGACGTGATCGATGAACAATCGTTCAAGTGGCAAAACGGAGCCAGCAAAATTATGACTCGCCGGAGTAGTTAGGAGCATCGGTCGCTTTGTCAGAACCATAATACCTCAGGATGCAGTTGAGAAAATAGTGTCTGTGATTAATGAGGTTAGAGACCTCAGAGAATTATTAGTCAGACTCGATCAAACAAGACAGATTTTACACTTCATCCAATGTTCAATAGACATTCTCATTGGAACAGAGATTAGTACAAGACGTAACACTCCACATACTACTCCTTACATGTATGAAGTTGATGAGCTCGTTGATAAAACTAAGGAAAGGCTTGTCGACTGGCTCTTGAATAGATAGAATAGGCTCACAATATTTTCAATGTTTGGTGAAGGTGGATTGGGTAAGTACAATAAACCTTCATTCTACAGTTTTCTTTGTTGACTGGTGGTACAATTAATGCAAAAATATTGAATAAACCAAAACAGCCTTCACTTACATATCTCTAACATCACTATGTATTTACTGTCGTTTCAAGGTAAAACAGCTATTGTGAATTATGTATACAACAAGCAAAAAGAGGAAAGATCTTTCGATTTTCATACTTGGATCACTGTCTCTCATTCGCTAAAAGGAAGGAAGCTATTACAGATTATGGTGCAAAGCTTCCAAAATGTGTATGGCAGCAACAGAAATGGTGATGTAGAAATTAATGAATTCATGGATGTTGAATTGATTAGTGAAATCAGAAAATACCTGTGTGGAAGGAGATATATGATTGTTTTTTATGACGTAAGAGATATAGACTTCTGGAAAATGGTTGAACCTGCATTACCATACTACAACAATAGTAGTCAAGTAATAATTACCGCTAGGGATAAAGGCGTTGCAGAATTTTGCCAATGTTTTGCCCCAACTCACGTCCATGAGCTACAACCACTGGATGGGAACAATGCTTTGAAACTCTTCTATCATAAGGTCTTGTTAGAAAGTTATAATGATCTTCCCTACCACCTGAAATCGTGCCTCTTGTATTTTGGTCTTCTTCCAAAAGATCACTATATCAGATGTGCTAGACTCATCAATTTATGGATAACAAAGGGTCTAGTAATGCAAAATGGCAATGCAGATATAACAACATTGCAAGAAGTTGCTGAAGAGTATTTAGATGAACTAATATGTGAGGGTTTGGTTAAAGCATTGGATGTGTCTCCTTCTGGTAGAGTTCGAATTTGGCGAATCCATTACTTAATGCATGACCTTATTCTTAGTACATGTCAGGAGATGAACTTTTGTCATTTGAAAACGAGGGAGGAAGAATTTAAATCCCATGCATCAGCCAGACGTCTATCAATCCAAGACATCAGCCCTGATGATCCACAAAGCACAGGAAATTATAAAAAAGTGAGGTCTTGTCTTGTGTTTAACATGGCAAGGTTACCAAATCCTGTGTTAGAGTCAATGCTCTTAAGTTTTCATCTCTTAATAGGATTAGACATTGAAGGTTCATGTATAGATTATCTTCCCGAAGCAGCTGGAAATTTACTTCTTCTGAAATATCTAAGTCTTAGAAGAACAACAATTAAGACCATTCCCATGTTCATTAAGAAGCTTCAAAATCTAGAATATTTGGATCTAAAATATACTCATGTTCGAGAATTGCCTAAAGAGATTTACAAGCTCATCAAACTACGTTCTCTGATAACAAATTATTTGGAGCATGGGACAAATCGCTCAATCTCAAGTTTCAGAGGAGCAAAAGTACCTGAAGGAATTGGGTGCTTAAGGGCTCTGGAGAAACTTACAGCAATTGATGTAGCTGATGATGGGGGTGTGGTGATCAATGATTTGAAGACTTTGAATAATATGAGAAGGTTGTCCATTACAGGGCTAAGAAGACACAAAGTGAAGCTACTATGCTATTCAATAGAGACCATGAGCCAACTTTGTTCACTGAGTATTTGTGGTGCAGAAGAACGTGAAGTTATTGAGCTAGAGCCATTAAATAAACCTCCTCAGAAGTTGCAGCGCCTTTACTTGGACGCTCGCATAGAGAGACTACCAAACTAGATTCTTGAACTTGAATCTCTGGAAAAGTTGAGACTGAGTTTCTCAGGACTAAAGAAAGATCCACTTTCTGTACTTGAAAACTTACCAAGTTTGAAGGAACTTCAACTTCGGAAATCATATGAAGGTGAGGAGCTTCATTTCAAAGAATGATGGTTTAAATGGCTGAAGAATTTGGAATTAGAGAGCTTGAAAAACTTGATGGCCTTAAATATAGAGAAAGGAGCATTGCCTGTTCAGGAAACTTTGCAATTGATGGGGTGTCCACAGTTGGTGGAGGTGCCCACTGAGATCCAAAATTTGAAAATTCTCATAAAGTTTCACCTTTGAGAAATGCCTTCACAAATAATAACTAATCTGACATTGAAAGGAGAGATCGAGCTACCAAAAATTGAAGGAAATAAGCCTTGTGACTTCTCGTAAGGACTTGTATCAGGGTTTAACCCTTCTGATGCATTCATCGTTTGGTAAATATTTGCATGTCCTGTATACCTTCTGTTTGGAACTAATTTTGTTAATGCTACATTGTTGGCTATATTTTTTAATCCATTTCACTCTTATCCTTTCTACTAACCAAACAGGCCCTTAGTTGATAAGTACTTGTATGCAATGTGTATATGTTGCAAGATTTGATCATTACCTTGGCTTTCATATTCAGTTGTTGTTTATCAGTTTTGTGAGATTCGTTCTCAGTTCTCACTAAGTATTTGAAATATTATTACATAGAAAAAAATTAATTATTTGGTCCTATATTTTTGATTCAATTTTAACTCATTCTTTAAACTTTAACTCAGTATAAGTCAGTCCCTATTATTTTAATCATTTAAGATATTAGTCCCTTTATTTTAAAAAATAAAATTATAAAGAGTAAAATTATTTTAAAATTTTAATCTTTATAATCTTTCTAAAGATTAAAAGATTTCATAATTTAAAATATTAGTCCATAAATTTTAACATAATTTCAATTTTGATGATTTTATTTTCTAAAATATATTGACCCATATTCTAAATGATTAAAACTGTAAAAACAGAGTTGTACCTAATTAAAGTTAGGTATTGAATTACAACTTAATCAAAATTATAAAGATTGAGTTATAATTAAATTAAAACTATAGAGACCAAATACTTAAGTTTTTCAATTTAGCCTTTTCCTAATGGTTTGGTGTGTATTAGAGTTTGAGTTTGCCTAGCTTATGTTTGAAGATTAAGAAACATAAAAGTTATGTTTGCTGATGTAATTATTTTCCTTCCTGTTTTCACGACTCGAGTTGATAAAATATATAGCGTGGATGCATAGAATGTTTTGTATAAAATTTTTATAAAAGGATGTAAAATATGAAACAAAATTGATTTACATTTTTTAATTTCACTTTTGCAATTTTTTAAAAATGGAAGTAATTATAATTTTCATTGCTCTCCCTTTCGTCTTTCCCATCGCCATGATTGGGGAGCATCAGGTCTGGAATGGTCGCTTACCTAGAACTCGAACCAAATCATCACGTTGAAGTACTTCTTTTCACAGTAAAACGTTTTCAACTTTTTGTTTGGCTATCGCATGAACTAGTCTCAAGTGATGAGTAATTAAAATACTATTCTTATCCTTTGTTTCTTATGAAAAGGTTAAAATTTAAACCATCTTCATCAAATACACAGCGTTTAGAATTTCAAATGTTGGATGCGATAATACCAGCATATATTAAATCATAAAGTAGACAGAATTTAAATGGATAGTTTATCAACCAACACATTATATATAAAAAAATCAAAACAACAAATTAAGCTTACTAAAATTAAGTCGTAGGTAATGGATTACCTCTTTTTTTTTTTTTTTCAATTCCTAGGAACTGGTGGTTAATATACAAATTATGTGGAAGTTTTTGTCATGGTTGACGTTGACTCTATTGCAAGTAACAAGTAGCCTGTTTGAATAGTCTCTTAATACATACAAGCTTTACATTTCTTGGCGGACTGGCACGACGTTTACGTAGCAATTGTAGACCAATTAAACAAGAAGTTAATATTCCAACCGCGCGCCTTCTCTCTCTTTCTCTCTCTCTATATATGTGTGTGTCTCTGTATGTGTGTGGGTGTGAAACCCATCAAAGTATCACACACTTTCTGATCACGCACATAACCCAACCAAGACGCTTGATTATAAGTTTAGTGTACCAAGCAACATCAACGCTTTATGAAGCATGAAGGTGAAACCAATGATAATTTGTGTGTGTGTGTGTGTGTGTGTGTTTATAGTTTTGTATTCATCAAACGCTAGCTAGCTTGATAACTGAACTTTGAGTTCTAATATATTATTGCAGCAAAAGATAGTCAAACGTGTGCCCATGCGCTGTGAGGATTGCAGAAGCAAGGCCATGAAGATCGCATCAATGGCTAAAGGTGATTATATTCTTGCATGCATGAAGTAAATCTTTTTCAATTCGATCTAGTATTATTAATTAGTATATGATATTTCATGCATTGTGCATGCAGGTCGGGTGAATTCGGTGGCACTAGACGGAGAAGATAGGGATCGTGTGGTGGTCGTCGGAGAAGACGTGGATCCGGTGTGTTTGGCTAAGAAACTGAGGAAGAAGTTCAGGTCGGCCACCATTGTAAGTGTGGAAGAAGTGAAGGAGAAGAAAGAGAAGAAGCCTGAGGAATTGGCTTGGTGTTACTATGGGCCTCCTTGTCCCCCTTATATTTGTGAACAATACCCTACTGATAATAGCTGCTCCGTCATGTGATCGGAGACGCAGAGAGAGAGAGAAAGAGACAATATTCCTATGTTTGTATTATGAGTACCAATATAATTGAGTCCGGATTGCAAGTTTTCATTCTAAACAAAAATAGGGAGATAATTACTTCTACCTGTGTGTTGATTAATTTCATGGTATTACTTTCATCTCATGTTATGTATTGCATTAAGTGAAATGAAGTCATTTTAGATTTGTGCATGGCGCACTGTATATTGGGTTCTAGTGGTGGAAGGGATGCTTAAGTACAAGGTTTCGTGTTTAGGTTCGTGTGATTGCAAGGGAAAAAGGCCTTTGAAAGACCTATCTCAATTGTGCTTGACAATATTCAAACAATAGGGGTTAGTAGGTGAAATTTTTAAAAATTTATCTCCGTTACCCTGATAGTTTTGAGTTCATTGGACCCAGGCTAAAATATATTTGGGTTCAAAAAAATTTGAGTCTTTTATATATTGCACTCAAGATCAATAGATTTTAAATTTTTGAATCCATTATACTTAAATTAAGATTTTTTTTGAAACAACATTTTAATTTTAGTTTACTCTTCCTATATTATTTCACAAAACTAAATATTTATTATACATATAAAACCTTTTTTATTATTTTTATATCCTATATAATTTATGCTCCAACTAGTTCAAACTCTTGCGTTGCCGCTACTCGAACTTCAATCAATTAAATTACTGTATCAAAAAAATTTGTATGTGGTGTCATGATAGGAGAATATTTTCTCATCTTTCCTTCCCATCCTATTGCTAATTTTTTATTTTTCAGGTTTAAATTTTAGCAGTTTAATTTTTATTATTTATATTTTTTATAAAATTTTAATAATAATTTTTTAAGAAATTAAATCTGAACCATCTAAATTTTGATCTAATAATTAAATAGGGAAAAAAATGGAAGAGAAGACGAAAGGAAGGGGAAAGAATCTCACCTGTATACAATGGTAATACACGGAAATTGATAGAGATTGGTTTTATTTTATCCTCCAATTTAAGCTCAAAAGTGTTTATTGTTAGATTTTTTCTAGCTAATAGTTTATTGTATTATCACAAAATTAATAAATAAAAAATTCTTTTTCCACTTTCTTGATATAGAAACTTCGATCATTAGTTATATTGGAACTACATTTTTAACCTTCAAATATTATAACCACTAAAGATTAATCAGTATAACATGTATAAAATCTAAACCAATTCAAATTACATGCTATATAAACCCAAAATCATAATTTTTTTTAAAAATACAAATACTTTTATATATGCTAAAATCAAATAGAAACCCAAAATTATAGTTATCTTATGTCAAGCTATTATATATTTTACATGCTTTTCAATTTAAACTTTTTCCTAAAAATTAATTCAAAAATCATATAATTAAATTTTATTTTAAAAATCATGGTTTTTGGTTCATAATTGATCTTGACATGTATAAGGGTGTGGGGACATTTTTATGAAAATTGAATCATGATTTTAAGTCCATAATTAATATTTGTATGTAATTTATGTGTTTAGATATTTTAGCTTGTCTTTTTTTTGTGGTGTGTATGTTCTACATGGAAGACGTTGAAGCTCGGCCATTGCCAGATTCAACACGTACGTAGTGAAGACTGGCAGTTATAGACAAACCGATGATGTCCATAGGTCCCTCAAATACGGACATGGACCATTTCTTTGTAGTAAACCATCACGAGCAGACCAAGACCATTTCAAATACAGATGACCCGTAAGAAAATGATACTGCGCCAGTTTACACCCAGTTTAATTTCCTTTCACAATTCAGTGTGTGTGTGTGTATCCATTAAATAGACAAAATAAGATATTTTATAAGTTTTGAAAAAACCAGTCGGTCTTGTAGCTTAGATTTAATTATCAAATTTTAAATTCTGACTCAATGAAATTCAATCCTTGAATTTTGATATGATACAATTCAAATCCTATAATTTTAACCATTTTTTAAAAATAAAATTATACTTGTTCTGGTACTTTTTATAGGGTAGAGAGAGAATTTTTTTGTCGTATTTATAAGTCATATAATTGAATATTTATGATAAAATTTTTCTTTTACCCTCTATTAAATATGAAGAGAGAAAATATGGTATTAAAATATGTATATTTGATAGAGGTAAAGTTAAAAACTTTTTAAATTTTTAGATAATTAATCAGTTTTAAATTTTTTCTTAATTTCAGTAAAGCACGTTGAAAGTGATTTATAAATGAGATTAAAAAATAAAGACTAAAATTATTTCTTGAA